ATGAAGCACAACAATTTATTAATCAAAAAGGACGATTAGAAATTCGTAATGTTTTGAAAAATTATATCGAAGATTTGAGTATGTTATTAACACAATATAGTGATCATGTTGAACAACGTGTGAAAAATGAAATTGGTAGATGTGAACCAGTAAGCCGTGCATATAATCATACGGTTTCATCACTATGTGATAATGTTGTTTTACCATTTGTAAGTATATTTTTCAACAAAAAAATGGGAATTTAGCATTTTGTTTTATCCCCACCTGAATAGACTGCTAGTTGGTTCAGTGTTACAATCACATTGATGGTTTTTATTCCGGCAACATTATTAGTTTGTTTATTGAATACAATGTTCAAACGAATAAAACGTTCATCATCACGACGTGAATCTATTTTGATTATAGATCATTTTGAAGAAGATGATATACCATTAGCTGAGTAAGTAGTTTGTTTTGTTTATTCTGTTTTATAATCATCAAATTAATTTTATTTTGGATATGCAAATAGAATCGATAAACGAAATAGAAATAGTCATAATAATCGAAATCGGCCTGTAGTTCCAAGTGCACCACATATTGCTGCATTCAATGAACGTGATCAATCGGAAGAGGAAACATGGTCACCGGGTGCTATACCACAGCATCTTTATTCAAGACCACCACCATATAATTTTTGAAAATGACACATTTCCAAATTTTTTTAAAAATGGTCCAAAATGTATGACGATATTTTTTTCGTTTTTTTGAACAACTGCCTGTTTTTTTCGCTTGAAATCTCTACTCAAGAACGCACATCAATCAAAGTACATTAATATTTTTTATTAATATCATCATCATTTACACTCATCATTCATTAATAATTCTGAAAACAAAATAGTGATTTTAATTTTTTTTTCGTTAAAAATTTACGTTCCATAGTTTGTAATGTTGATTAAATTACGATGACAATTAACGATTTGTAATTGTTTTCCTTCATTTTGTTTCTTTCTCATTTAGATGTATTGTATTTTGAAAATGACAAGTTTTTTTTCCTGTGTTACTCAATTAAATTGAAACAAACAAACAAAAAACACAATTGAAAATATTCAGATAAATAATAATTTACAATTTTTGAAAGAAAAAAAATTTGAACTATGAAAACAGCAAACTAAAAGAAAACATCTCGAATAGATGCATTGCACTTAAACAAGGGAGGGGTAATAAGAAACAAAAATCATTCGGCAATGATCATCATTCATAGATTTTTTTTCAACAAAAAAAAACATGAATTGAAAATGTCAATCAAAAAAAAAAATAATAAATGAAAAAAAACATACATAACGTTGACAAGTGTAAACACTGTGTTTATCAAAATTTTATCCATTGTGAATCTAAATGAATGAATAAATGAATGGCGGTGGTGAAATCAAACACAACAAAAAAAAATCAATCAAATAAAAATAATGATCAAAGATGGATGAATATCAATTTTTCATTTAGCATCATCATCGTTATTATAATCCTTGTGTGTAAATCATATTATGTAAAAGAAATTAATATCGGGGAAAATGAATATATAAATAATAGAGTTTTTCATGATGAATATGATGATTTTCTTTTTTTTGTTGACAGGATATTTAGAAAGGATCCTGTGTTTGAAAAAGACGATCCTATTTCTTTTTTTATTGATTTAATGAATTGATAATGATGATGATGATGTTCGTTGATTGGTTATCAATCAGGGTGTATTCAAAGTGATTGGCGGAAAAAAAATCCATAAGATAACATGATAATGATGACATTATTAATGTGTTGTTAACATATTGATGAATTGAAATTAAAAACTTGTTTGGGATAAGAAAAATTAGATGTGAATCCATTGTTGACACATTTTTTTGTTGGTTTTAAATAAGTGAACAACATTTACGTTTCTTTTTGAGATTAATCTGTTCGACTGTTGTCATATTATTATCGACATTATTTGCAACAATAATTCCATGTTGAATTTCAATTTGTCCAGGTTCCATATTATTATTATTATTATTGCTTTTATTGTGAATTTTATTTATTGGACCATCTTTATCATCAGGATTTTTGCTGACTAAATGTGTTTGTTGTTTGGTTAGAATTTCATCTTTTTGTTTTTGTGGTGTTTGGCTATTACTGTTGTTGTTGTTGTTGACAGCGGCAACATTTGAATTGTTGGCACTGGTGGCGGCTACTATATCACCCGTTGGTGTGATTGGTTTACCTTCTTTGATTAGATTAACGATTATATCCGCTTCACGGCTTAATTCTGAACCGGGACGAAATGGATTATCTTCTTCGTTCTCCATATTTTTCCTAGTATACAAAAAGAAAAAAAATAGAAATTCATTTTAGACAAAAAAAAACAATAATTTTAATAATTTTTCCAACAAAAAACAAAACAAAACACTATCTTACTGTCGACATTCAAGATCGGTGAATGCAACCCTTTTTGGTACTTCAATCAGATAAAATTTTGGCCATGTATCTAGCGATGATTTTGAACGCGGTATTGCTAATGCAGATGATGCGGATGATGATGTAAACACCATTTATTACAGAATTGTTTTTTGTTTACAAAATATCAATACAAAACATATAAATTCAATTCATTAATTGAATTTAATTAATCAAATTGATTTATTGTCTAAAATCATAGACTTGTTAATTGTAATTACTAATCTATAATCACTTTAGTTTTTGTGTTGAAATTGACAAAATATTCATTATTATTATCGAAATAAACCATTCATAATGGGCAAAACAAAAAATGGACAAATCCGTTTTTTTATTGAGATCAAGATTCTATCTGGATTTCTAGATCATTTGAATCACATTTATAAAATTAATATCATCATAATGATAATGATGAATCTCAGATTCGAATTGACAAAATGTTAATCATTTTTTAAATGAATTAAATTCTGTCATCATTTTCATATTCTGGTCTACACGTCATCATCATAGTATTTAAGATTATTTTAAGACAAGTAAATAAGGACAAAAATAATTGAGCAAAAAAACAACTTTTAGTTTGTTGTTATTGTTGTTGTTATCATGTTCGGAAATTCAATTTTGTTTTTTTTTAACAAAAACAAAACAACTCACAAGATATAGATTTCAAAAAAAGAGAATAAGATTATGCAGGTTGTCATATACACATATACATAACCGTAGTAGTCCGGTTATAGTTGGTTGATTTGGCTAGTAAAAACAAAAACAAAAACAGAAAAAAAACCGGGACCAACCAATATTAACCGAATTTCGTTTTTATTTCGGGGACGACGCATGCTTTTCAATGATGAAAAAAAAATTCAGAATGAGATTCAATAGAAAAGAAATCTGGGCTCATTCTTAAATCTATGGTGTGGCTCAAATAAAAAAAAACAAGATATTTGACACCAACGAAAATTCACAGGAAAACACAAGACAATCTTTAAATAAATCTTTCTGCTTAATTTGGTTTTATTTGTCCATTTATTCTTGTCAATCAATCAATCAATCAATTCCTGACCTATTTATCATATTCATAGGCTATTTATTTATAGAATTAACTGAGAAAAAAATGGAAAAGAAAATGTCAATTATATTAATGATATCGTTATGATAAATAGATCGGGAGAAAAGGAGAAAAAAAGCTTAAGAATATTCTTGAATTAAAACAAATTGATTAGCAATGAAAATCCAAATGAACCGTTGACATTTCCTCCATTTACTTTGCGTGACTCGAAAACATTTTTTTTCATTTATTTATTTTTAGTTTTTTTTTGTTTTTATCGATATCCAGAATGTTCATTATTATTTTCCAAATAATAATAACACATTTGAAGAATAGATATATTTTTTTATGGTTTCATAATGATCGACATTGAAATTGTCAGCCATTATTTATAATGTCAAATTTTCTGCACCATCAAGAAAATCTTTTTTTTGAAATCAAGATAATAATGATAATTGAAAAATTGATCAGCAAGGTATTTTTCAACCACACACATATTTTGTAAAAGGAAATGGCTGCTAGGATGCATTTTGTTTCTGATCAAAACAAATTGAAATGTCAAACATTTGCAAATAGATTTCAATAGATTTTCAATCAAAATATACTTACGTTCGTACAACTTGAATCGAAGAATGCTGCTGTTGATCGATTGTTTTCTGTATTGAAGTCATTTTTTTAACACAAAAAAATGGATCACAGGTGATACTTTTAAAAAAAGGACACTAAAACTTGGCAAAAAATTCGTTTGACCAGAATTTGAAATCAAATCATCACATCAAAGAAAGATTTCTTTTTCGAAGCCGAAATGAAATGCCGTTTGTTGATTATGTTTCTCTTTTCGGGAAATTTTTTTGCTTTCGAATTATGTTCTGAACGTACAAGTTTTTGAATAACTGAATGAAAGATAAATACTCAAACAAACAAGTTGCTATAGTTAGAAAATTAGAGAAAATAAATATTATATACTCTCATTTTGGATGATATTAATTTACTTCTATAGTTGTTGTTGTTGTTGTTTAGGACAAGAACGATTGATATTTTTAAAACGATGAAAGCGCTATCGTCACCATCGTTGCCGACAATTTACCACCACACACACAGGCACAAAATATCGTTAATTGAATAGAGAAATTTTCTTTGCATTTCATTTCAAACATTAAGGATTTTTTTCTGTTTGATTCAATGTTTGGCAACGATGATTATGATGAGATATGCATAGACATTTACATCACGATTTGTGTTAACCAGTGATTGAATGAATATGATGCGTTTTTTCTTCTTCAATCTTCATTATACACGCACATGGTTCATATTTGTTGCCGTTTGCTTCACCCATCATCATCATCATCATCATCATTATCATTATCTTTGCTTCTTTTGATTTTTCTCCGTTTCTTCTTCTGTTGGATTCAAATTTATTACAATGAAAAAAAAACAGTTTGTGTGTGTGTATGTGATGTAAATAGATTTTCATATAAAAGTTGGGAGTATATTTACCATTTTTCCGCTCTTCAAAAATATCCTATCCATATAAGTTGGTGGTGGTGCAATACATATGCAACGTTTTTGTATTTCTCTCCTTTAACACAAATGATGATTATAATGATGTTGAGAATGTTTGTTTGTTTGTTATATTGAATAAACAATATTTTATAGTCAATAATGATGATGATAGGAATATAGAGAATCAAGAATCGGGTTTTTCTTTTCGAAATTTTATAGACACAGGCATCTGTTCATATAAAAAATTCAAATGAGAAAAAAACTTTTATTCAAATTGATCCAATAGTCGATTAATGGATGGAGCCATCGGTTTACGGAAGTAAATATTTAAAATATTATACATTGTTTATGAACGGAACAAAATATTATCATTATTTCCGAATAAATTTCAAAAATAATAATGAATCTTACCAAAATCCGAGGGATCAAAAAAAATTTATTATTATTATCCCGTTGCCAGGCGGCAATCACAATTCAAGATTAGCAAGCAAAAAAAAAGACAAGCATGAAAAAAAAGTCAATAAATTGACTATCTCTTGCTCTCGTCATGGTTATCTTTTGTATTTTTTGTTTCATTCAAAAGAAAAAAGATCCCCTTGAAATGATTGCAATTTTGTTGTTTTTTCAGATCTTATTATTGTTTGTTTGAAATTGTCATCACCGTCATATTCAAAAAACAACAACTATATGTAGCGGGCGCCGGAATTGATATCTATTTGGTTGCCACTAGGTTTTTCGAATGAAATTGTTTTGTTGTTGTTTTTTCATCAAAAGAACTTATTTTTTTACAAAAAAAAATATTGGGTGTCTACATAAATAAACATAAGGTATACCTTACCTGGTGTGCCAGGTAAATAATAATAATGGAACCATTAAAAAAAATATTTGAAGGTCTTGTAAACATAGCCACATGAAGAAAACAGATAGAAAACCAAACAAAAACAAACACAATGAAACTAATCAATTCTTGGGCTATAAGGTTGGCCTTTTAGAAACTTGGGAATGAATTGTTGTTTAGAAGCAAACACATTCTGATTCTGTTTTGAAATCTATTTCTCACTATACACCTTTTTAAATATTCAAAACAATTATAAAGATATTCTATTCTTGTGTTGAATTTTGGCTATCATGGTCACTGTTGTTGTTGCTGTGAAAATTATGTGTTGTTTTTAATAATATTTATCAATTGATGATCGATAAATCAAATGAATCAATGATTTTTGAAATTTGAATGAAAAATATAACATCGATCGAATGTATTTAAAAACAATGAATAATCGATAAAATAATCATATCAGATTTTTGTTTTTAAAAAGTTCATGTAAGTAAATTATTATCATTATAATAATTACCCTAATTGAAAAAATAAAAACATTCGATTCGATTCAATAAATACTGCCACAAACATTCGAATTACAACAAAAAATAATTTTTATACGAAAAGATTTCCCAAACACTGGAACAAATCAGATTTCCAGGAAAGTTTTTTTTCCTTCTATCCCATTAACTTAATTAAATGTATGTATTTGAAGGGACATTTTTGTTGTTGTTGTTTGCATTTTTGCATCTGCATTTTTTT